TGCAACGGGCAATCCTGGTTAGAATATCGAAAAAAGTTGTTGCCTGCATAGCTGAAGAGCCATTCTATGAGCTGCTAGCAGCCGTTCCGAGGGTGATCCAGCCGAGTGCATTGGGAGTGATTTCTTTTACAGGGTGTGGGACGACGCTTTGCATTTGTTGTGTGCCGAAAAGCAGATATTGATGTAAATCGACGGGCCGGCGAACTCTCCGAAGAGGACCTGGAGAAGCTGCAACAAGTGATGCAGAATCCTAGCCAGTACAAAATTCCCAATTGGTTCTTGAACAGACAAAAAGATATTAAAGACGGGAAGTACTCGCAGGTGAGCTTCAATTCAGGCCCCAGCGTAGATGTTTTTTACACAAAAAACAAAATATCAAAGTATCTACGGCAATTTTTGTTGAGCATTGTATTATTTTAGATGCTTTCCACCTCACTCGACAATAAACTACGTGAAGATTTGGAACGGTTGAAGAAAATCCGCTTGCACAGAGGTAACTAATTTGCACTTACATCCCCAAATATCACTGCATGCGGGATCCAGTTAAAAAGTCAAACCCTCCTTCCCCCGCCCTTCCCCCCTTCCCTTTCCTTTTCGGCCGGTATTTGCTTTCGGTGAAAGATAGAAACACTCGGGGAGCAGCTCGAGTAGAAGGGATTCACCATCAGTTTTCCTGTAAGCAACCCTCGAAGGAGGGAGCCATCGACAGCCTTGCCAGCGAATGGTTGCTGCTGATGGGATCCAATGTTTTTAGAAAAATTTTCACGACGAATTCCCAGCGTGGGTTTACATACGGACGACAGCCTCTAGGAGGAGAAGTGGAACTGGGAAAATTCGACAAGAAGGGAATTTTCCATGGGAAAAATTCTAATTAGGTGAAGTTAAAATCAAAAAAAACAGCACATGAAATGCGTGGGTCATGCACTTCGCGCTACAGTAACAAAGAATGAAGAAAGAAACGAACGCTAGGATCACCAGTGACATGTGGGGATGCAAATTCGGTCACAGCAACCACTGTGAGGAAGGCAGTTACATGGACGGCTTAAAAAGTGGTGGATGCATGAAAAGCGAAAGGAAAATTGTCGCAACTCCAACAGTTGCATGGATCTACCGCACTGAGGCAGAATAGTTATCGAACAGCAAATTCAAGGATACCGATTAGTGAACTATTTGCAAAGTTCCTGCTCGTTTCTGGCGTGTTTACTCGTCTTTATAGTAATTCACCCTGGGCCTTATTTTGCTGGGTCTCCCCAATTTCGCAGTGTTTTTTGTTGTGGGTTTGTCTGGCAGTTCAGAAGCGCACAGCTGCTTCCTTCTTTGAAAATTGCTGAACGAAGCAGCAAAATTTGGACGGTAATAATAATTGGCCAGTAACTGCCGATGCGAAGATGCGTTTTTTGCATAGTTTCCCGCAGGCTTTTGTCGCTAATGGCGCTGTGTTTTCCAGCAGATGCTTCTCGCTAAAAGAATTGAGACTGGCCCCAAGGACTGTCAGGATACGCCCACTTAAAATTTAGCTTCCTAGCTTTCATGGTTCCCAAGTTCGCAACTCACCTGAAAAAAGTTCTTCCGGGCCCGTAACTGGGAACTGCGCATATCCGGTGTCTGGGTTTGAGCTCATTAACACCTACGTGGACGGGGAACATCCCCTTGAAATTACAGCTTTCTAACTTTTCATTTTCCCGAGTTAGCAGCTTACCTGCAAAACTTCCACGGTCCGTACGTGGGAACCACGCATACCGGGAAGTGGTTTGAATATATTAAGGCTTACGTGAGTGGGGAACACCATCCTAAAATTTAAACTTTCTAGCTTTTCTGGCTCCTCAGTTAGCAGCTCACTCGCCAAAAACTTTGGCAAGGCCGTAATTGGGTACTACGCGGGTAAAAGCGTACAGCCCATACATAAATAAATGTAGGTGAAGTTTCCAAAGTTTCAGCCCTGTAGTTTTTGCAGGTTTCGAGATGAAAAATCGGTACAGGCGAACACACAGACAACCCCTCGTCAATATGCATTGCATAGTTGCAAAAAACGCATGATAAAAATTTCTCCTGTCGACAAAGGGAATAAACTTTGAATACCTGAACCAGCAGTGATTCATGGTTTGCTTCTGCAGCTATATATCTGGCAACATTTCCACTTGTTTTTACCAGTGCTGCATCGCCTACTGACTATTCTGAGTCTCATGAAATTTGTTTGGTCTCATGATTCAATTACCAGCTCAACGGGTCCCCAGACAAAAGCATCTGGCAGGTGTTTATCCATTCCAGGAACGCCTGTAATGTGCTGTGGGCGTCTTGAACATTGTATTAGCTCATAGTAAAGATTTCTTTTAATTAGGAAAATGCCATTTTTGGGAATAACCATTTTGTCGTCGTTCTAACTCACACGGTTTAGAGGCGGTAATGCGATGCATATGGATTGAAACATTGTTAACGCTGCAGATAAGAGCGCGTATTTCGAAAACTGTTTTGTTTGCTATTGCCATGAATCTTTGATGTGGGTGTTTGCAGGACTTCGTCACTACTGGGGTCTGCGAGTGCGTGGCCAGCACACGAAGACCACTGGCCGCAAGGGACGCACTGTTGGTGTATCGAAGAAGAAGGGCGGTTAAGTGATCAGAGTTACTGTTCCATATGAAACAATAAAAGTTTGTTGAGTTGGCTGCTGTGTCTCTCGCTTTTTATGTACCGTGCAAGTGCCACGGAGCTCGCCGCTCTCTCTCATTGGCCGTTTCTGACTGTGATAAGGTGCTTCTGACAAGCGCTGCTTACTTGAACATGCGTACTGGCCCTAAATCGTGTACTGATTTTGCTTCTTCAAGTTGGTGTAAAAAAAGTTTATCGATCGATTATTTTTCCGTACAGATATCCGTGAACCATTACTTGCAGGATCAGTTGAGGGAGATGGAGCGGGGCAGCGGGAGGGAGGGGAGGAGAGACGTGGAGATGTCCGCATTTAGTTACGGGATGCTAGGGAAAGTTCGAATCTCTTTTGTATCTGAAATTCGGATCTCTTAGAAAGAAGGAGTTTTTGATGTTTTTGTACACTAAGCTAGTCCTGATTTGGTGTTTTTTTGGTCCTCTGGTCTTCTAGGTAGTCCGAATGTCGGTACCATTGCAGTGACACTGCTTTGAGTCGAAATTTTTTTTTGTGTCGGTTCTTTGCCCGCATCGGTGCTGTTTCCTTTTCAAAGTGGACGTCTGGCTATAGCTTTGGCGTCGGGGTGATTTCAG